TTGACGGGGCACGCCTCTCTCTCCCGCGCCCGCTCCTGTCGGTACGTGTTCGCGATTCTCTCCCGAAAGCCAGCCATGCGAGAAGGAAGGTTGCACGGTGTCTCCGAGGTTCGGTGATGTTGGGGGAAAGCCTCGCTTCTGTGCCTCGCACAAGGAAAGTGGCATGGTCAACCTCAAGGATAGGCGCTGCGAGCAGCACCCCTGCACGATACAGGTAAGGGGAAACAAGTCACCCGTCTGTCGTGTCCTTCGAGCTGGAACAGGCGAGGCGAGGCGAGCACAGGCAAGCAGGCAACGGTACCGTTGTTGCCCGATGACTAAGCTGCTGCAGCGCGGTCGCCTTCAACACGGCAGGTTGCCTCGAAACAAGCCACCACCTCGAAGCTGAACACTGATGCCGCGCAACGACATCGCAGACCTACCCCAAACCGAAACCCTATGGGTCCGCAACAAGCCATGCTACGGCAAGGTATATACTCGCCGACCGTCAGCCATGGTTGTATCAGCGCTTCCGCTGATTTCCGATTTGTTTTTGTTCTCGTTTACCCCTTCCCTCGCCCCCCCCGGTGTTTGCCATCGAGATCGGGTTTTCGTCGCTTGGCAACGACGTTGTAAAACAAGCCAATTCACTTCGTGAGCTCGGCAACCAGGTTACCGTTTTTTTTTTTCCTCCGTTTTTTTTTTGGCGGTAAGCATACTGGTGGTCGAGTAGATCATGTTGTGCGGGGTGGAGAACCCTCGCTCTGCGCAAGGGGGATGATCGCACCACGTTGTGTTAAAATGGTCAAGCACCCTCGAGGCAGTTACACAGTGCTTTCAACTGTCTCTGGAAGTGAAAGCACCAGAAAGTAAATTAAGTCATACGCAGCTGCCATCCGTACGCAAGGAAGTAAGCACAAGATGCCGGACACCCTTAGAAGGATGCAGCTCACCCTTCATGCGACTCGCCGAATACCTCACGGCGCTTCGCGCTTGGTGATGTGAGAGCCTGGTCCGGTGAGAACCCGGCGTGCTCCTTCCCAGCTTTGTAGGGATGCGAGGTCAATGGTCTAACGGCTACGGCATGCACGACTATGAGTACACCCCCCCCCGCAACCAACGTCCCTGTTTGTTACCGACCAGCCGACTTTCGCTTTCCCCGGAGAGAAGCCCCGGTTCTGCTCGAAGCATAAGGCCGAGGGCCACGTGAATGTCCGCCACAAGCTTTGCCGCCACCCACAGTGCAAGCTAGTGCCCACCTACGGGATGAGAGGCACCCGCGTCCCCGTGGCCTGCCTGGAGCACAGCGAGGGAGAGATGGTGGACCTCAAGAGAGAGAGGATGCGGATGGCCCAAGCGAGAAAGAAGGCGCCGGCGGAGACGGCCGCTGCAGCGGGGGTTGGAACGATGGAGGCGCTGGTGGAGCCGGGGGCGGAGGAGCTAGCGGTAATTGCGGTGGCGGGGAGAAAGAGGGCTAGGGCGAGCGGCGGCCTGGGTGGGAACCGGGAGATCGGGCGAAAAATCATCGACGCGATCTTCACATCGTCACAGCTAGTGTTGGATGCAGAGAGTGCAGCCGCCGCAAATGACGATTCGGAGTGGGAAGAAGGGTCTGCGGAGGACAAGGAAGACGAGGAGGAGGGAGAAGAGGGGGACAGAGGGCCGAGCATGAGTTTCCACCTGCCACCGCCGAAGCTGCCGGCACCCCTCTCCGCGCCCCCACCACCGACGCCGACACTCTCACCTGGGGGTTTTCCTCGGACGTGTCCCGCTCCCCAAACGGTGGGCATGGTACCCGATGTGGCGGCCGTGGGTTGTACAGCTCAACCGGAGGCCGCCGCAGAAGCAGAACGGGGACAGCCGGCCGGAGAGCGGGTTGCGCTGTCCGGCCGTGCCGGCGAAGCATCCGTCGGTGCCGGTGGCGGGGCAACGGTAACCAGCGGTCGGAAAGGCGGGAGCGGAGACGGCGGCGGCGAGGGCAAGTGTGGAGAAGGCCGTAGCACGACACGGGCAGGGGGCGAAAGGGGCAGAAGGAGGAGCAATAGCAGCGGGGCGCCAAGCTCCTCGCCCTCCAACTTTCGCTGCCTCATCGGAGGTAGTGCGGGAGAAGACGCGGCAACGGCAACGGTAACGTCGGTGCCGGCAGCGGCCGTTGGGGGCACTGCCAACACGCCGAGCCCGAAGGTAAAGACACGCGCGGTAGGTGAGGTGGGGGTGGAGGCGGTGCCTGGACGGGGGTTAGAGGGTGCGATGATCACCCAGCAGCAACAGCAGCAACAGCAGCACCAGCAGCACCAGCAACTGCAGCCGATCCCGATCCTCGAAGAGATTGGGATAGGCACGAGCTTGACTTGGATCTGCGTCCGGTGCGGTGGGGTGGTTCCTCCGGACGACCGGTACGTGCTGGTCTGCTGTGGCTACGGCGTGCTTCATCAGGAGTGCACGGCCGTCTTCGTGCGCCCCGCCATCGGCGTCAGGCCCTCTCCGTGCCCCAAGTGCTCCAGACTCGTCGGTTCCTGCCTCCAGGTGTTCATGTAGTTGGCGCCTGAGAACTTGATGGTTTTCGGCTGGTAAACAACCAATTCAGGGCTATCTCGGGGCTCGTCATGGATTGTTGACCTCTTGTTGAGTTACGCAGTTCGTGCTATGTTTCTCTTGAGATGTGAATGGATATTTTTCGCAACACGGCTTGGGGGCCATCAAATCCGAGTTCCCCGATAAACCTGGCTTTGCTCGACGGCAGGTGCGAGAAGTCGAGATGGTGTGTTGCTTAGTCTATGCTCCTCGGGTCTCGCGTGCTGTAGAGGCCGTAGCAGCGCAGCCATGTGTGCCTGGCGAATTTTTTTCTCTATTTGTTTTCTCTATTGATGCGTTGATCGAGCGCAGCATGTTTTTACCCAGGGAAGCATTTTCCAAAGCATGTGCGAAGCGACAATACAGGGGGGGGACAAAACACGCCTGTCTGGAGTATGAAGGGATAGAATTGTTGTGGTTTATTGGGTGCGCGTGGGAGTCGTCGAAAAAATTGCGCAAGCTTTGGCCAGATTGGATACCGTACTCTTGGTTTTGTTTGAGGCTTGGCAACGACTGACGACTTCGAAATAACACGTTTGTTAGTTGAAGATGTCGCCGCTGTTAATTTTTTGTTGGATTGTGGTAGTTATTAATAGCGCGTTTTGTGCTGTGAAGTGGTTTTATTATCAAATATGATAGAAATGCAGCAGTTAGATGAAAATATCATCTTCCTCTTCTCCCAGTCTTGTTTTCAATTGAAAAATTTGAGAATGAACGAATCCGAGAGATCCGAGGGAAAAGCTGCATGCAGTAATTAACAACATATTCGCCTGATTGAGAGCGTAGCATCTGATTGAGAGCGAGATTGCGCGATACGCTGTAGCCGGACTACCACTGAGAGGTGGAGCTTGCTGTGTAGCTTGAATTGAAGGGCTAGCCCGTAGCTTCAAGCCGCTACCCTGGTCATCCTGTGGGAGTCTCTCGTTGTGGAGCTACAGCGGGGAGCAGAAGCTACAGCAGAGCCCACCGCCCGACGCGATACCGCCCTGAAACAGTTTGAGCAGAAATAGCCAATCTGGGCAAATCTAGCAACTTGTCTAGCTCCTCGCTGCAGCATCCGATGACGATGACACGCATATGCTCGCGAAGCTGCTGATGAGACCTTCAATTTGCACCGCTTCTTGGAATAGCCCGTCCCCTACTTGCCAAGAAATGGCAAGAGGCGTCTGGACCCGAAATTTCAATTTTTTTGGCTCTCGCTCTCAATCAGATACTTCGCTCTCAATCAGGCGAATATGTTGTTAATTGAAGATCGAGCGCTCGTGTATCACGGCACGTCTACTGCTGTAGTCTATGCGTGATTAAAAAGTTCGGGTTCTTTATGGTGATGAACGCCCAGATCCTCAACATTAATTGGTCTGCCCAAGGAATGGTGGCTGAGTGGGATGGTATCCCCGCACCCTTCTCGGGCGCGCGTTTGGCACGTGGGCTCCAATCTCGGCGCAGTCACTCGAATACATACACGTTGTTTTCCCCGACAGCGATGCGTGTCTACCCAAACAACGTACTGTTTTTAGCACAAAGTGCAAACCAACACATGCCTTCGATTGGGGGTATTCTCTCAAAAGGCCATTGTTCTCTGTGATCGGAAACTATCAAAACAGAGAAAACGGTGACGGAAGTAAGTAGATGTTCACTCAGTCTGTTCACACCCCGTTCACACTACAATGGGGCACAAATGTACGTCGTGGTTTGTATCCACATGCTCCTTTGTAGAAAATAGGCCCTCTGGGCCTAGATAGTATACTTCTCAAATCATGAAGATCCTCGGAGAGCGTGTACAAACATGTTTGCTTCCGATGAATTTCATTCCGATGACCCATGCGATACGCGCTGGATTGACGACGAAGAGCTTGGACACTCACACTCGTAGTAAGCGCAATGCATTCGTTTTCGAAAACTCTCGACGAGACGGTTCCAAAGTTCCAACGCTGATATGTTCGGAACAGTCACCCTTTCTGCTTGATACTAATCTACGTAGCCTTTGAACGGGTCGAAGGGGTGTGATATTTTATGTCACCTCGGCGATACTTGAAGAAAAAATGATCATTTCTCCGCCGAGAAAAAAATGTTCCCCCTCGTCGTCCGAAAAAAAAAGTGAAACCGTCATTTTCGCATTCGCTTCGATTTCGGCGTGGTTCGAACCACAACCTCTGCAGCCAAAGTAGCTCACCACCGGCGCAACCTCATCCTAATCTTGCTGACTGCATGGACGACGTCAAGTGGCAGTATCGCCTTCAAGTGAGAAGGTTCTAGAGACTCCATGGCTGTGGCTGCTTGCATATTCGAGCGTTTGAGCTGGGGCAGCTTGTCGGGACAAAGTGAGAGCAGACTGGACCTCCGACACAGTAGTATTCAGCAGCTTTCTACACAGCACCTGCTGTACCATTGCACCTATCCCTCGGACCCACTGCTAACCACTTCCTCGTGGTAAGACCAAGGAGCTCATGGTAAATCAACCCCCCTTGTCGGCGTTGTGTGGTAATGATGGGGTGAAACAGATGGGCGCCAAGAAGACCAAGAAGGGGCGAGGTTCGCGAAAACGAAACATCGACGTTGATCCTGCGCAACAAAAAGTCACGATTGCGACGTGGAACGGGCACCGCGGACGAGGCGGCCGGACGAGCACTCCGCCGGAATCGCAGGAGGGCCCGGCTCAACCTCCTCGTCGTCCTTCCTCCTTGACATCGGGTACAACACCGCTGACGACGACGACGACTTCGACGAAGACGACAACAGCACGAGCAGCGCAGAGAGAAAGGGATGGTGCCGTAGGGGCTGCCGGAAGGAATCGCTACCCCGCCGCTAGTGGTCGTGCTCAAGCACCACTAAGTGGTAAGACGAAGCCCCCTCTTACGCTAGAGGAGCTGTCCGAGGGAATGCTAACGCAGGAAGCCATCCGGGTGGCGGCGGGGAAGGCGACGACACGACAACTACGAGACGTCTCTAGGCTCCAAATCGTTATCGACAGCTCGATGGTCAGCATTGAAGGCGTGTGGGACGCGGTGCCCAAACTCCACACCCTAACTCTCGACGGGAGCCGCCTCGAAAGCTTTCGTGACCTCGGGGTGGGCCTCAGGCACCTCAACACGCTGTCCTTGGAGTCATCCTGCGTGGAAGATTTGGACGGGATCGGGGCATTGTCTGGGCTCCGCGAGCTGCGCCTAGCGCGGAACCAGGTATCGGACGTGACTCCCCTGGCTTGCCACGGGTGCTTGCAAGTTTTGGGCCTTGAGCGGAATCGTGTCAACGACATGAAGGCTCTGGAGATTCTGAGCTCACTGCCTCTTCTATACAGGTGCTTCTAAATACTCTAGAATGTGTCTATCGCACGCAGTAGTACTGCAAGTGCCGCGAACAGCAAGAGCAGGCACTACTGCTGTACATGCTGCCCGTCTACGTGTGAAAATACACCTACTTTGGGTTCGACACACATCGTCTCCCCCCTCTCGTCGGTATCTGCTGCATTCGCTAAATGTAGCATTTGCGCCGGGAACGAAGAGGGCTGTGTAGCTTTTGTAGTCATAGCTTCGAGTCGAGTGTTTCCGTGGGTTGATGGTGAGGTCATCGCACTATACTCAATTCACCGTGTCGAATGTACGCCAAACCAAGCATGTGGGAATATTCTTGAGTAGCACCCCGACAGCCCGTGAAGTAGTGAACAGATCATTCTGGAAACGAAATTAAATCTGACTATTGATGCGGTTATTCCCGAGAGGAGGTTTGCGAATAGTCTAGTTGTGCATGGAAATATGGGGGGATCTGCCGTATTGACCCTGTGAGAGATGGACAAGGAGTACGCGCGCGCCGTATCATCCCGGGCCATAAAAAGCACGTTTGCGGCCGACCTCAACAGCACCCTGCCGACGCTGAAACAGGTTTCCAAAGCTGTTTCGCGGGCTCCCAAGATGTACTGTACCCATCCTTACCCTGCGCATGCGTATATTGTTGTTCCCCCCGCTCGCCACCACGAATACATGCTGGCTTGATCAGCCTAAACTTAAGCCAGAACCCTCTCACGGAGTCCCTGAGCAAGCTTCGCGACGGGAGAGGGAGAGGAGTGGTGCGCCAACTCATCCCTCAGATTAGAGTCCTCGATGGCATCCACCTTTCCAGCGGGGAGGGCGGCGCGGTCGACGCCCAAACGTTGGATGAGGCCGTCGACCTCATCTGCCGGGACGCGTCTCGCGCTCGTGCGGCCTGGTCCGAGGAAGGCGTAACGGAGGTGGTGGCGGCAGCGGCAGCGGTAGGGGCTGCATCAACCGCGACGACCATCAAGGTTGTTCAGCAAGATCGATGGCGACCCGATGGAGTTGGTAAAGATGAATGCCTCCCGCTGGCCGGGTTGAATAGTTGTTTTCCTCGATCACCTACCAAGCCAGGGGTGGCGACGGTGGCGGGGTTGGGCGGAGGTGGGTCCCCGATACCACCGCAGCTGGTGCCCGGTCAAGGGGGAGGCATACACTGGGATAGTGACTTGACTCAAGGGGGGCGACAGGCACTATCTGGGAACCCAAGGTGCGCTTGGCTCCGCCGTGCTTCTTGTATTTTGTCGCCAAACGTTTGGAACAAATCCGTTTCTGTAGTTTTAACTATGCCTTCGATCAACGGTATTCGTTTCCGTCGTACGCTGACTGGAGGCAAGTTGTACAGTAGTGCCCGGGTTACAATCCAGTGCTACTTGAATGGGAACACCATTGGGTTGAGGCTATCCAACCAACATTGAGGCCATCTAACCGAGGGTACTACTGTAAGTGGAAAATCCTGGACACGTGTATACTGGAGCTTTACAGTCGGAAAACAGAGCAAAAGCAGCACTAAATAACTGGAGGGAAAAAAAACGAGCCAAGCTGAACGGGGATTACACATACAACCTGTATTCTTCAATACGCCAGCCGCGTGACCATGTCCCCAAGCACTCTTCGTCGTCCGCTATCTGGCGTGGGTCCAATGGCGGATCCTTTCCAACTGCTCTTGTGTCCTGCAGCTCTGCGATTCGAAGGCACCAGTGCAGGGGAGGGACGGGCAACGGTCGGAATGAAGACACACCAACACGGGTTCTGGAAACGTTAGACCTTGCTAAGGTCATGGAGCGGGGGCTGAAACAGAGGTGAGAAAAAAATCATCCTCTTCGCGACGGTGCGTGCTGCGTTTGTCATGAAAACAGGCTGTGCGATACTGCTATGGCCTAGATGACGGCCGCCAATGATGAATGGAGCGGTTGTGCGCACGAATGTGTATAAGGCCTGGAACCATGGTATCCGACGCGTAAAAAGGGACTTGCGCACTCTATTTCACTCGCTGAACTCGTAGTTTGTCCGCGAACTCCCGAAACAGGCACAGCACGCAGCAATCGGCAGACAGGGTGTCGGAGTGGCGGAGAGAAACAAGCTCCGATTCCGTCCCTCGAGAAGAAGACCCTTCGTATGAGCCGCTCGACGGAACTGCTCCGCCTTCACCGCTAGTGCTAGAAGCCATACCTCTTTCATCGTCGAGCGCTGTCGATGGTGGGTTTGACCGTCGAGCGCGACTAATCGAAGGTGGACGAAAGGATAGCGGCATCCTCGCACCGAAAGCAACAACAACGTGGGCATCGTCGACGACAAGTGTGGCCAACCCCCCGAAGTCATCAGCAGCAGCAGCGGCAGCAGCTGCCGACGATGGCGTGAGGAAAACACTGTCGACGGGGAAGGGAGGGACGCGAGCCTCGTCCGGCAGGCCGTGGACAAGCGAAGGCGTTTTCGGGGCTAGCAGCAGGGGCGGCGGGACCGCAAGCGCCACGAATCAACGGCGGGCGCCACCTGGGCAAGAACGACACTGGGGCGCGGCGGGCGACGATAGAGGGGAGTCCGGAGGGAGAAGGAGGGGAGGGGAAGGGGAGCCGGAGGCGCGGTCCCATCGGCGCCGTCGCCGCCCTCAGACGGCCAAGGAGGCTCCCGGGAAGCGATGCATGAATGGAGGACTTTTCGACGGCGAACAAGACGAGATGTTCCGGAACTACAGAAACGCCTCCTGGCAGCCGGTATGGGAGTCGCTCCAGACCGCACGGTTGATCTCCTCTCCGAGGCTCTTCCAGACCACGAACACGAGCGTGGCAGCACCAAACCCGGCAGCCGCGGCCGGCGTTGAACGGGGTGATTTGGGAGGCGGGCCTGCAACGCAAGCTGGCGATGGGGCGCGGTGGAAAATCGGCAGCGTCGACTTTGGGCGGCAGAGGCGGGCGAGAGCGACGGTGAGAGCATCCCGGGGAGGGGATGATGCAAACTATCTCGACCTCGACGAGACTGACGGCGCGAGCTCTGCCCGAGACGAAGGGGAAGGGGCCGAGAGCAGCGGCGGTGACGACTCCCAGGAGGCCGACGACAGAACCGAGATCAAGAAAAGGGCGTCGGGTTTCTGTTCTCCTGCTTCTAAGGCGTCCGTCGGGAGCGGAATAGCCTCTCGTTTATCCACCTCTAGGTCCCGCGGCGTCCCGACTTCGTCTTCCTCCCCGTCGGCGGTGTTACCGGCGGAGGCGGCGGCAGTAGCATCGTCCACGAGCGCGGTTGCTTGCGAGTGGAAGAACGAGGCCACACCGCAGCAGCCAGGAGATAAACCTGTAGAGGGCAACAGCAGTGGTCGACAACCTCCGAAGGCCCGGCGGAGAGAAGCCGTGAGTTCATTTTCGTGGAGACCACTGAAAGTCATGGACGACACGAGTAGCAGCGGCGGCGGCAGCGACAACAACAGCAGCGAGGATGACGGAGGTTGCTGCGTCAGGAGAGCTTTCAAACTGGCAGCGCCGGGGAGGAAAATGAGCGTTCGTCACACGGAAGATGGTCGCCGTGGGAGTTGTAGTGGTGTTGCTGTTGGTGTTGGTGCAAGAGCTGCTGTTGGGAGCGACGGCGGGGGAAGGGATGGCGATAGTAGCAGTATTACTGGTGGATTCAGGCCGTCACCAAATAGGGTCACGTCAGTTCACGCGAGCCGTAAGCTGGGGTTCGACCTGAAGAGGTCTCTGGCGGCGATCGAGGAGTGGACTGACAAGACCCCGGCAGGGGCGATCATCGGCGGCGGCAACCACTGTGCGAACACTCCGCGCCAAGAGGCGCCGAACGACAGCAGAAAAAATCAGCCAGCGCCGTTCTTCGTCGAACACACCCCTTCCCTTTCCCCTTCCCCAAGAGGCACAGCACCCTTCTCCTCACCCCCGGTCAAATCGAATTCACTTGCCGTGCGAGAGTCCAAAGGTGGTGGTTGTCTGTCGAGCGCCGTGATATCCGATAGCAGCATGATGCCACAGACAATCGACCACAGATCTCGGGCGAAGGCGACGGTCGTCCCCGATATCATTGGCATTGCACGGACCGACGACGGCGACGACGACGGCGACGACGATGGGGAGCCGGTGCTAAGCGTCGCCGCGGCGAGAGCAGCGCTCGGCATGAGCAAAGGGTTAACCGCCGCCGCCACTTCCACAACCCCACGGAGCGGGCGTGCATGGGTTGCTCCAACACCGGCCGAGATAGACGCGCTCACCGCCGAAGGAATCGACGGACGCGTTGGTCTCGTTCCCTCCTCCTCCGCGACTCAAGCGTGTGCCTCCAAGCGGAACGAATACGAGAGCAGGCAGGCAGGCTCGGCAGGGTCTTTAGCAGGCGTAGCCGTAGGAATGTGCGACGAGGACCTCAAGGAGATGCTCAAGAAGCAGCCCCGAATGGTGCCGGAGCTCCGCACCAAGGAGCACTTCAGGGAGTTCTTCCAGGGGATGGGGGCCGAGCGGATGGAGCGACTCCTCCGAGGGGCGTACGAAGACTTGTCGCCGGACCAGGTTGGCAAGAAGGTCAAGAAACGCCTTGGGCTTGTGGGAGACAAGCTGGCGTGGTGACGGGGCACGAGCTGCCCTCGCAGCCGTGAATACTGTGTGTGCTTTTACCTCCTGTGTTTTTCGGGAGATCACGGGTCAGCGGTAGAAAGAATATTGTGCTTGTGGGTCACCTATACGCGCTTGAAGTCCCTAAGTTACAGGAGTTCGCAGGAACACAACACCGTTGTCACGAGCTGCTGCATGCTGGTGGATTGGTGCTTTGGTTTCGTTCTGAGTTTCGAACGTTGTAGTCGTCGCCATTAGATAGATTTTCACGATGTTGGGTTGAGTGCAACGTCTTCGTCGCCGGTAGCGTGTCCCTACATAAGCATTCTCTCTGTGCTGGGCTATGCCCTGCTTTCTCCACTCCCTCCACAAGCTAAGGAGCATGACCCAGCCCAACAAAGACGTGTCCACTCCTCATTGTGGGAGTTCTTCCCTTCCGACAGCTTTTTAGGTTTAACGTACACAGGCGGGTGTGGATGATATCTCTGTGTTGTGACACACGTACCATATTCTGCTGAGCGTCCCCCCTCCCCCCCGCCCCCCCCCG